TAAACCACCTGCATCCTGGGTTAGCATTACCTGCCTGGAAACCTTCCCCCTAATTTTTCACGGAAGATTCCTTATCACTGATTTTTCAGCGTGAATCTTGGCTTCACCGACTACTCAGCCTCTACCACATTCCCTTTCTTTAACGTATTCTGTGTAACACTTAACTTTTCTTGACTGCTTGATGGATGGATGGATGGATGGATTGTCGTTCCCATTAGAATGTAAGCACGATAGGAGAGGAGTCTTTGGCTGTCCTTTTCACCAAAAAATTGCCAGAGACAAAGACAGGGCTGGCACACTGTGGGTCTTCAGTAAATTCTTGATGAATGAATGAACAAACCAAAATGTTCTGTTTACATTCTGGTCGTCTCTGCCAGACTGTGAGCACCTGGAGAATAGACTCAGCACCATGTGCGTGCTTGCGTCCCTGTCACCTGCTTCATACAAGAGGGTGTCAAGGAGGCGTCTTGGGTTAGTGGGAACTGGGGCAGACATTCCTCAAGACTGAACTGCATACAGTGGGAGAACTGATGAACAGACAGCTCTCCTCTTAGACTTCCTCCTCCATAAATAACTACCCTAATTATAGATGGCATTCACAAAGAGCCTACTATGTGTCGGGTACTGTCCACACGCTTTACACATATTAGCTCACTTAACATGTTTTTTTGTTTTACGAGGTAAGAACACTTAAGATGAGGTCCACCCTCTGAACAGATTTTTAAGCGTACCATACAGTATCGTTATCTATAGGCCCCTGTTGAACAGCAGCTTGATTAATGATTTTAGCAACCCCACAAGGCAGGAACCAGCATCACCCCCACTTTAGAGATAAGAACAGCAAGGCCCAGAGAGGTTGGATGAGTTGCTTCAGGAAGAAGGTTAGGACCAACCTTGAATTCAGACTGCTCCTCTCCAGGCTCTCTGAAGTGTATCCACTTTGCCAAGCTGGCCCAACCACCACCTTTTTCCTTTCTAAGTTCTGTTTACTAGCCCTGTGTGGCATCCAAATTTAAATTAGTTACAATGAAATAAATGTTAAAACTCAGTTCCTCAGGGGCACGAACCATGTTTCCTCTCAATAGCCACGTGTGGCTCGTGGCTACCATATCAGAGAGCACAGACAGCGAATCTCCCCTTTGTGGCATAAAGTTCTCTCAGACAGCGCTGCCTTGAAACACAGATCCTTCAAGGGCAAAGATCATATCACACATTTACCATAATTTTTTTTGGTGGCATGAAAGGGTCAGCTCCAATGTTTAGTATAGCAGAAACCCTTAATAAATATCAGACATCCACTCCTGTAGCACGTCTCTACCCCCTAATGGCAAACTAGGGTGTCTTGTTGCTAACAAGCAAGGATTTGTGGAAATCAAACTGTCCATTCCTCGCTGAGGGGAAAAGCTTATGTCTTTCCGTTCTCCTTGCTGCTCACTGGATGACACACGAGAGCCAGGTTTTCTCATTCACCTCTTCTACTCCTAATTGGGGATGTTTATTGCGTTCTTTGTCCATATGGATTTTTCCTCAACAAATATATTTGACTGTTTAGCGGTTCTGAAGCTTTAAAACCCTGGGGAGAACGCTTGAAGTCAGGATCTATTAAAGATGTTTGCAGCTCTCAGAGCCAAGTTTTCCAAGACCGATTTTATTTTCTTTCACTTTTTTTTCAGTAGCTGTTTTCAGATCCCATGACATTCTGATGGATTTCCAGAAGCATGTTAATCAAGACCTTCTGCTTCCTTGGCGAGAGCCAGAGCTAGATGCAACAGTTCAGCACAAATAACGTATACTAGAGTCCTACTGTGTGCCTGCCCTGTGTTAGGCCCTGGGGATTTAGAAAGTTCCTACTATGTCTCTGGTCTTGTGCTAGGAATCAGGCATTTAGAGGGGGTCCCTGGACATCCAGAGACTTCCCAGCTTATGGAAGAGAGGGGCATATAAACACCCATTTCCTTCCTTCCTTTGATCAATGCTTATTCAGTCCCTACTCTACATCGGCACCGGCATGGGCGGTGGGATCTAGGAGGGCACGAAGCAACTCGAATTCCTGCGTTTGTGGAAATCAGAGCGGGGAAGGCAGTGCGTAAACAAGTAACGTGCAAATATATGCCACATGCCGATAGGAAATACTAAGAAAATAAAGCAGACAGTAGTGGTTGAAAGCAGAACTTTAGAGTGATGGGGGCTCTCTGACCGGGTGATATGAATGCAGTGAGGGAGGGAGCCGTGGGGGCACACAGGGAAGAGTTTTCAGGGCAGAAGGCAGAGGGAGTCAAAAGCCTCGCAGGAAGATAGACAAAAGAACAGATACACAGATACAGAGAACAGATGGGTGGTTACCAGAGGGAAAGGGGCGGGGGAGGGTGAAAGGGGTAAAGGGGCACGTATGTACAGTGACAGATAAAAACTAGACTTTTGGTGGTGAACACAACGTAGTCTCCGCAGAAGCCGAAACATAATGATGTACACCTGAAATTTATATAGTGTTATAAGCCAACGTGACCTCAATAAAGCAAATAAAATTTTTGAAAAAAGCCTTGTGGTGGGAGGGTGTCCATTCCCCTGGGAGGGATCGGAGGGGGTGGGGGGTGAAATAGCAGGGCATGAGGTCAGAGATGCTCCTGGGGCCAAGCAGAGAGGGTCTCATAGGAATTGGAAAGACTCTGGATTTGATTCTGAGGCTTCTGAGCAGAGTTGTGACTTGATCGGACTCACATTCTAAAGAAACCTCTCTGTACAAAGAGTAACACAAGTGAGCAAGGGTGGAAACAAGGATACTTTTTGGGAGACAACGCAATAACCCGAGGGAGAGGTCACTATGTCCTGGGCCAGGGTGTGGGAGCCAACGTGGTTTGCTCACCTGGGTCATGAGAGGAAGAGAGGAGGGGAGGAGGACGGCAGGACACATCCAGGGTTGCGTGGGAGCGCTGGGACAGGGATGTGCCCGGGCCTGAGAGCCCTGGGAGGAAGCGCACCTGCTCGGATGGCCAGAGAGTCCCAGGTACATTCGAATTTCTGATGAACAATATAATTTTTTTTTTAGAATAAATATGCCCCACGCAGTATTTGGGACATACTTATGCTAAAAGGTATTCTTTTTTTATCTGAAATTCAAATTTGAAGGACTGTTCTGTGTTTGATCTGGCAATCTGAGCAACCTAGGGCATGAGAGCAGGGCTGCTGGTCACGCCTGAGCCGGAGGCTGAAGAATGAGCAGGTCTTGGCCATGGGAATAAGGAGGGAAGGAGTCCCAAGTGAAGGGGACCATACCCACCCCTTCTCTGAATTTCTGCGAGACTTCCAGGGACTCAAACATCCGGGGAGGGGAACAGCAGCACACAGTCCCCTCCTGGTGCCTCCAGAAGTCAGACGCAGTTCAAAGACCAAAGTTCTGGGGAGGCAGCTCTTAGCTGAGTTTCAGGAAGGGTTTTCTCTTAAAGCCTGGGGTGTATGAGGTTCGTGTTCGTTGCTCACAGATGAGAGGCCCAGGTTTCCTTCCAGTCTACAGGTCTGCCTCGCATAACTTGAGTGGGAGCTTGAATGGACAGGATTCAGAGATCCATCAATAATCATAATCATTCATGCACAAACATTCAGAGGGCCTCCCATGTTTCAGGGGCTGCGTTCAATGTCTTGTTCAAGTGTGCCCAGGCCTGCCCAGCTTCAGACCCTGCCTGCCTTTTTCAGTGCAGCTTCTCCCAACCCCCATCCCACCCTCCCCCAAAAATGGCACCAACAAAGTGAGAAGGGAGCGTTGTTGCGCTGGGCAAATTACTTGACCAAACACGCAAAGGGAGTTGTTCGTGTTGTGCATGTTGTGATCCAGGGGACAGTGAAGAAATCATTTTGATTTGAAAAAAAATACAGGAGAGAATTGAAGCCTTGTGTGAGCCACTGGGCGCTGGACTCCCACACGTCCACTGTGATGGGGAGTTTGGAAGACCTTTGAGACGGAGAGAAATAGATGGAACGGCAGGGAGGAAAGCCAGAGAAACATTCTGCTCTCCAGAGCCTATTCACAGAGGTAGCCGAGGGTGAGAATGAGAACGCCCTGCCTTCCTGAGATTTTTATTACTAAGCAGAAGACGACGTTAAGTAATGGCTTATTGGAGTGCACATCCTCGGCAGGGAAACAGCCAATGGTTTCAGAGAACTGTATTATTACTTTGTGTTTGCTTATCTTTTTCTCTCCTTACCTGATAATCATCTGTAGCTCTATCTGTCTTTATAAGGACATGTGAGAAAATAGAAAAGGTTACAGAGAACAGTCAAAGAATTGCATATTATTACCTGGCTTTCCAGAGCGGTCTGTGCAATTGTTTGTTTTTGATGAGATAACAATGAAGATAGAATTGTTCAAAGCAAATGCTGTTCAAATTTCATCAAGCCATCCCTCACCGCCCAACTCTCATGTGCAGCTGCCCCCTCCCACCACTGAACACTCAGGGACACCAGAGCCACTGTCCCTGGAATGATGGGTGAGAAGTAAAATCCTTTCTCTTTGACCTCCATGCCCATCAGGACCAATGAAATTCCTATATTATTGGGTAACATTAATTTCTAGTGATGGCACCAAGTTCTTACATGGGGTTTCCCAAATAAGCCCTGTCGTTGCACTCCTTCATACCTTATATATGCTGGCCCTTCCGGGTGAAATACCCTCTTGCCTGTCCCCAATCCATATACGCTCCTTGAAGATACCTTTTTTCTCTGTGACACCTTCCCCCATCATCCCAAGCATATTTCATCATCGCTCTCTTTGTTCCTTGGATACAAGACATTTCACACTTCAAGGAAGTCGTTCCACTTCCTTGTTTCCAGGTCTACCTTCCATTGGTCCATGAGCTCCCCAGAGTAGGAATCATCGTCTGTGCATTTCTCGAGCACTGTGCCCAGCACAGAGTTACCCCTCCTCAGGTTGTTGTCCAATAAATGAATACATAAAAGAAAGTATGAGTTTACCAGGAGTAGAGGAAAAGTACATGTCAGCAATCCTCTACACACTGTGTGACAGGCTCTCCATTTTATTCCTATAACTCTACTAACGCCTTTGAATTTCAAAAGGGGGCCATGTAGATTCTTGATGACACAGAGTGCAGATGAGACACTTGTACCATAGATACGAGGAAGGGAGCATGTCTGCATGAGATCTGCCTTCTGTAAAGTCTTCAGAGTAGCCTGGAAGGTAGTAAAGGCTAGTGTGAAAGGCTGTGGGCCCTGGAGTCCAACACTCTGAATTCAAACTCAACCCCTCTCGCCACAATCCCGCGCAAGCTTGAGGGGAGTGACCTTTCATCAGCCTCAGTTTCTACGTCTGTAAAGAGAGAAAAATGAAAGTGTCAACCTCACAAGAATGTTGTGAGAGTAAGATGAGCTAATACACGTAAGGCTTAGCACAGTGGCTCTATAGCAGTGTTACTACTGGTGCCGTCTTTCATGCGTTTTCTATCTATTAATTTATCTCTTCAGCAGGCCTGTAGGTCTAGATTCATAGCACACAGTTGTCAGCACATGCAGAATGGCTTTCGTCAACCCGTGGAAAGGTCTTGGGCTCGGTCCAGAACATCTTACCCTAATCCCTCCTGTCTTCACTGCCCAGACCAACCTTCCCATCTTCTAGGATCCCAGTCTCATGACTCATCTTCCCTGGATGGCTCCACCCTTCCCAGATCTGATGACTTACCCAATGACCGGCATTGGCTTTCTGTTTCCAATCTTGGTCGCGAGATTGGTTCAGCCACTTCCTCTACCTGCTATAACGCCACCAAACTGTATATCTGTGCTCATCCATGCCCTAAGATCTCACACCAGGAAAGGAATTTAGATTAGATTGTTTACACAATTCCTTTCAGATAAGTGAGGAGGACTGAGATGGAGAATTTCATAGCTTTTGAGTTCCCTTTAATTAAGACCAAGTATAGATAAGCTTTTCGAAGTGATCTGTCCTGTTTTATTTATAGCTGGGTTAATGGGGGCGGGAGGAGGTGGAGTGTGGTATGTAACAGACTCTGGCTGGACACTCAATGTTCCACTTACTCACTGTTGTGTAACAAACTGCTTTAAAATTTGGTGGCTTAAAACAACAATTTATTATTATTACAACTCATGATTCTGTGGGTCAAGAATTGGGAATATATATATTATTAAATATATGCATTATGATGTCTCCCTAAGTCTACAAAGCCCTACCTGCAGAAGTTATAATTAGAGAGGAAAAAAATCTTAACTCAGATTATATTAATTAACACGTAGAAATGGATTCTGCAGCTTAGCAACAATGCACATAGCCAGTTAACGTGGATGTCGATAACCAAATTTGTACATCAGATTATGTAGAGTTGTTCCAGAAACCAGCCCTGCATTATTCAAAGAATCCAGAAAGAATAGGCAATGGAATTATGCTGATTTTTAAATATAATTTTCCAGTAGTTTAAGAAGAATAAGTTTTTCATTTAAAAAGCCAGCGGGATCAGCAGGAAACTAAGTTCTGTTTTAGTTGGAAATCAGTGGGTGGGAATATAAAGCCACATTTTTTTTTTCCTAAATGGAACTAGAGAAGCATCAGATCTAACAAGTTGCAATCAGCCCAATTTCTTTATAAATATATGAGTGAAGAGCTGGGGTTTTCTTTTACATGATTTTTTTTAATCCAACATAGCAGTAGCAAATCACCTTTGCTAACCTCCGCTCCTTTCTGTTGCATCAAAACCTTTATTTGGGGGAGGTCAAAAGAAACTCCTCTGAAACCCCAAGAATCCACGGGAAAGCAGGGATTTAAGAGGCCAAAATAGCCCATGAAAAACAGTCACCCATTGGCTGCAGAATAAGGACTGGCATGGGTCATCTTAGTCTATGCCCTTCACTAGCCACCAGCCTTGGACCAACAACTGCATCGGTTTCTTCGTCTACAAAGCAGGGCTTATAATGCCTACATATTGGCTGTTTGACAATCAAGTGACAAAAATGCCTATGGAGGGCTTGTCAAATACCTGGCACCTAGGGGTGTCTGATAAATGGCCCAAGAGGCAATGGCAGGTCTAAAACGGGCCAATTAATCAATAGCTCAAGATCCAGCTAAATGCCCAGTCAGAGCAGGAAACAAGCAAACTGGGAACATTTTGTCTGGGAGGTCTCGGACTTTGTCTGGGGTCCCTAACACTCTGTTGTTGGATAGAGGTGGTTGGGCACTGATTGGGATAGCTGCTGTCACACCCAAAATTACAGTGACATCGAACACTAATGAACTTTCTTTTATGACACAGATCTCTTCTTCAATAGCTTGTGTGTGTGTGTGTGTGTGTGTGTGTACATTTTTGAGTGTCCATGTGTGTTGTGTGTGCGTGCCCATGTGTGTGGCAGGAGAATTATTTAACAATTCTTATCGTAAGGGTTTGCAATAGAAACCCTGAAGTGAGTCCTTTGGTCAAGGAAAGAATCTTCTGGTCAAGTAATTACTCAAAGCATGCTTTTCCTGTTGTGCCTCTCTGATTGGCATGTTCATTGGCGGTATTAAGGGTGTGGACACTCGTGTTGGACTATCAGGGTGTAATTCCAGCTCTTCAACTTACTTAGATAAGCGACTTAATCACCCCATGCCTCAGTTTCCTCATTTTCAAATGGGGATTATGTCAGCTTCTATCTTCCCGTGTTTTTATTAGGATTAAATGAGATTGGGCATGTAGAGCACCCAAGATAATGCTTGGTACATCACTTACACGCACAATAAATGTGAACTACTTTACTCTATTCCATTTCCTGTTATTGTTCTAGTGCTGCCATCATTCACTTCCTCGGCCAACAAGTCTTATAAGCAGCCTCGACAGCCCCCTTTCTACCACCTTGCATGAAATTCATCACCAAGTCCTATAGAGTCTACAGCCATAAAGTGTTAGAGGCCTTGCTCCCTCCCCTTCTCTCCCGGCCCCACTTCTGGTTCAGGCCATCACTATTACCTACTGCTTTTTCAGTGATAGTTCCGATTTCCATACACCATTGTCCCTGCTCCAACTGTAGGGACCCCCGAAAGCCATCCAGAGCTAGCATGTAAGGCTTCCCCGGCTTCCCAAGGCCAACCCTGATCTCGTCCCATTTTATCTATTGCCTCATCTCAATGTCCCTCCCAGGGCCCCCAAGACATTTACGCAGGTCTTCTCCCCACTATCCAAAGAGCCCATGCTCTTTCTGGTCACTCCCACAACCTGCTTTGCATCGTAAAAGATGAGCGGTTTACATCTATTACACCAATCCTACCGAGACTATCAGGGGCTGGCATCTTTCCTGATTCTGTATTTCAATGTGCCTGGCTAAGCTTTACTGAGTGTGTAATAAATATGCGTTAAGTGATAAAGGAGAAAACCCAGGTCACTCTAAAGGACAGAAATTTGGTATGAATTCCAGAACATTCCCTGAGTTGAAAGTTATTCATCCAAGAATCTCCCAGGGAGAGAAGAGCAAGCCCTCCTCCTTGAGTTGTCTATAATTAGACTATGACAAATAGGTTCAGAGCATGTCATAAAGAGTAATCTCTGTGTGAGCAGAAGCTCTCTTGTCCTTGAGGTACTTTCTCTGTCACTCTAATCTTATATTCTAAGATCTTGGATATATTTCTGTCAGACATAGGCAACTCTTGATTTCCTTCACTGTGGGTGGAGAGTAGAGGTGTGAGCAGCCCCAAACATCAGAAAAACTCACAATTATTTGCCAGTTCACTTGTACTCAGCATGATCGCTATACCCTTACTGAGCATGGGATATGTGCAAAGTGCAGAGCTGCTAAATAAGAAGGGGGATGGGCAGTGCAAAGGAAGTAATTATCCAGTTTTGACAGACTACAAGGTGCCAGTGGATACATGTGGAAAACGCCACTGAAAAGGTAAGTTAAGGTGGAATAATAGGAAGAGTTGAATGCTAAAGTGAAGAACGACGGATCACAAGCGAGGGGTCCATGGGTCCCATCTCTAAGCAGACAGATGCAGGCGCCATGTCCTTGCGGTGTGACTTCTGCCCCATTGTGCCAACAAGACTTATGCCTCCAAAGAAATCCGGTTCAGGACTCCAGTTTCCTTCTGTCCTGAGATGGAATGCTCACAAGTTAGGTTGCTTCCCCAGCCCCAGGCTCTAGAAAAAGCGCTCAACGTAGAGGGACTGTACCTGGACCCCTGGGTTCTGAGGAAGCAGCTCAATCCCAGCAGAGGTGGAAGCCCAGGAGGCCGTGGGGAGCAGGTGAGAGAAGCATCAGGGAGCTGCAGGTACCTGGTGCATAGCTTAAGTGCATAATAAGTGGACAAGGACAAGGACAAGGACAACAACAACAATAAACCAACAAGGACAAGGTGCATTGGGAAGGGAGCTGGACTTGCAACAACAGACATGGGTTCAAATTGTGGCTGTTTATTTGCCTTGTGGCTGTGGCAGCATCACTAACTCTCTGGACCCCTAATCACTCATCCCTCAAATGGGAGAAGGCAAGCATCCCTGGCTGATGGCTATCTTTGTTTCCAAAATAACGCCGTAAAAGAACTTAGACCCGTTTCCCCAACGATCAGTTGTCCAAAATAAAAAAAGAAGCTAAATCTGGACTCAGGCTTTGTGACTACAGTCTCTGACGAGATGAGCACATGACAGCAGCCGCAGGACTGGGGGGCCTCCACGAGGAGGAACCAGGGCAGCATTAGATCCAGAACAACTGTGCATTACAGGGACAGTCTTCTTGCTTCATCCTTTTCCTTGTCACCTTACAGAAAAGATCAAGGGTGCTACTTAGGATAACATCAAAGATTTCTGTGAGGTTTAGGATATCACAGGACTGATGTGTGCACAACTTTTTTGTAATCTGTAAAGTCCTGCACATTTTGGGTTACTGTTCTTTACTATTAATTATTATTATTATTATTACCACCAAGAGTTTAGTCCCAAGAGGAATATATAACTATGACCTGTCTCTTCCAATTTCCTCATTTACATATCTACAAATACTTATTTATCTCTACCCTATGTACTGCTAGGGAGGATTTAAGTCAGTTTAAAACAAATATAGTGATGGCAAGTTAACAAAACAAAATGAAATTGAAAACAGGAAGAAGAAAAAGGGAAAGTGCCATCATTTGCAGTATAAGAGTTAGTATGATTTCTGGCAGCAAGGTTCTTGGCAGCAAGGGAAAGGGGAGCTCACGAGCAACCCTTCACCTTGGTCATCAGAACAGAGGCAGCCCACCAGTTCTTCAGGAGAACTAACTCTCTCCCTGATACTAAGCTCGGGTAGGTATGTCTCTAGGGACTCCGTAGTCAGAGGCAAAGTCCAGGAGCCCAGAAGAGCAGCTGACCCTGGCTGGTTTGGGTCTAGCGGGAGGAAAGGCTTTCTGCAGAAAGGAGAGCTCGGGAGAGTCTTGAAGATGACCAGAAGCAGATGGAGAGAGACAGGCGTTCTAGGCAGGGAACCAGTGCTTTCAGATGCCCCGAGGTGAACGTCTCGTCATTGTGGCAGCCCATGGCATTCATTTGCACATGTGGGTACCCTGTAAATATTTGTCCAATGGAAAAAGTCAAAGAGAATATGAATAAACCAACCAGAAAATAAAACCAAAGAACCAGTGAGCTCAGAAATTCAACCAAGAGCAAACACCTCTGCTGCTTCGAGTATGTGTTATTTGATAATACAATACTCACAAGCTTTAAGCAGAAGCATTGTTTGTCTTTCCCTTGCTGCAAACTTCTTCTAAATAGTGCCAAGCAACATAGCTCTTTCTGAAATATTCTAGCACCTTAATGCTTCCCCAGCAGGCATTGATATCAGTGAACTCTCAGAGGTGAGGCGACACGAGATTCCCTCCCAGGTGACAAATCTAGGCTGAATTTTTGAATAAGAGAAACTGAAAAACTCCCAAAGTGCCTTATTGGTTAGCTCACACTGAGTCTTATTAACTGGGGTTGGTCAACATATTTTCTGCAACTTGATGGGGCATCAGATTGGTTCCGGGGTAGCAGAGCTAAACAAGAACATGACATCTAACAGTTAAGAATCAAGTTACTGTTTACTTAACAAACTGGGAAACCTGGCGTCTGCTGTATACCAGTCCTGCAGGCACTGGGGATCTAGATGAGTGAACCATTGTCCCTTCCTTCTTCCACGGGCTCTCGGCTCCTCTCTGCTCACTGCCCTCACTTCATTCCAAGTGCCTTTTTGCTCTCTCCCTCCCCAGTCCTCTCCCCCAACCATCCCTTTCTCTCTTTCCCTCTTCCTTTTTCTCTTCCTTTCTCTCTCCTTCCTCTCCCTCCCACACTCTTTCTGAAAACATTAATGATAAGTGCTTTATCCTCCATGTTTCAAATGTCACATTGGCATGTCTAGTAATGGTCATTTTTCACTCATTCTGCTCCCTACTGGGAAAGCTCATTCAATCCAATTACTCATGTGACCTTTCAGCTCTGGAAAAAAAAAAATCTTCTATTATGTCTTTGATAATTTCTAACCCAACTATTTTTCCTTTATTCTCAATAAATTGTACATTGGGTGTGATAGGCAGAATAATGGTCCCCCAAAGATATTCACATCCTGATTCCCAGAACCTGTCACCCACAGCTGTCAAAGAAAGAGGGGAGCTCAGACATCACCCCAATTAGATTTGCAGATGAGTTCTCCAAAAATAAAAGAGTTGCCAAGAGGATGAGTATTTCATGAGCAACTACTTGCTCCTCTGCCAGTCTTTCAGACTCTATTCTGTGCCTTTACAGCACATGGCAGTAGATTGTTGAATCTCCAGGAGCCAGAACTCTGAATTTCATTTAGCATTTAATTAACTGGAATAGACCAAGAACTCCACGGCAGTCTCCTGATTGCAATCTGTGGATGGATGGGCATTTTTATCTGAAAATGATGACCAGCTTATCTTCTGTCTTGCAGCTATCACACATGATATGTATCTCTCGTTATCCCAGCCAATCAAACACAGAAAGTTTATTAAGATTCTATCATTCTAAGTTATCACCAGTGATAGGATTTTTCATCTGAATGTGCTTGTGTGCAATACCGTATTTTGTCTAAGAGACCCTCCAGGAGAATGAGAGAGGGAAGGTTATCATTTAAGAGCATGCAATGAATCTACAGTCAATGACCAAGCAATTTAAGGAGTGGGGCCACCCAGACAACTCCATCAACCAGATCTCTTAAAAGAAGTGTATTACTCCCCTTTGTAAAGAAATGAATGGACATGATGACACAATAACATAAACATGGGAAGAAATCAGAGTGACCCTACAGTAAAAAGGAAAAAAGCTATTGCTTAGGTGAATAACTGGAAAGGCAAACCAGATGGTTCCATATTATGCTAAAAGTGAGCTCTGAGCTTCCTAGAAGCCAGATGAAAAGAGAAATGTGATCGATTCTGAGATTTGTGGGGCCCATGAAATGACTACAATCCATTATTTATGAGAAGCCAGATTTCATCCAGGTCACTTATGGACAGGAAATTGGAGAAGAACCTACTCACTCAAAAAGCCGGTATTAATTCATACAATCAACAGTTGTCTCTGGAATTCTCATTTATACTGGCCGCCATGTTGGTGCCGGGTTTTCAGTGCTAGTTGGCCTTATTTGCTCTCTTAATGTGGACAATCCACTCTATCTGACAAGCAGGCAGAGACATAGTCACAGTAAAATGTGGGGGTGCTTCCAAGGACGTGTGCAAAGCACCCATTGAGGACACAGGGGCTATGTCAATCTCCTGAGCTTTGTGCAATTGGGGAAATTTTCAAGGACAAGACAGATTTAAAGAGGGATATTCATCTGGGAGATGAGGAACATGACCTAAGTGAAGACAGGCACTGAGACGAGAAACACATACATCACGATTGATGTCCACATGGCGGCTATTGGTAAGAGTTGGCCTCCCTTCCCAGGCTGAAAGCTCCTTGAGATCTCTTCTGGCTTTGCTCTCCAACATCGCACTCCAAGCACAGGATCTGGGATGCAGTGGATACTGAACAGGTTCCTAATGAAAGAATGAAGGAAGTAAGAGATGTACTGAGGAAGGCCTTGGTAATCTGGAGCGGGGACGAATGTACTTAGTACTCGCACAACCAGGATTACCTGTTTACCTTAAGATTTTCCCCAAATAAATTGGGCAGCATTGTTGTTCCAAGGCTGTTCAGAGGACCACATAGGGTACTTCATCAGTTTTCCAGAGATCTCTGGAGTTTACATGACCATTTCCCATCCTTGATCTTACTTGATGCCCACAGATATCTGGTAGGGGAAATACCAGCCTAGTAGGATATGAGGCTGGAGATAAGTCTAGGGGCAATAATTTTACTCTAACGCCTTCCACATCATATTGTTGTTGGAATATGTGTACCTGCCTCCCCTACTTCCACTGTGAGCTCTCTGGGCCAAGGACTGTATCTGCATTTTCACAGGAAACTCCAAAAACTGTAGGTGGAATCAGAGTTGCACACCTGGGATCTATGTGAGCCTTGGGCAAATAAATAATTAAGCCTCTCTGAATTTTAAATCCCTCCTCAGTCAAATATAAAAAGAATGAAATTTGTCCACGTGCAACTCAAGACTGTGGCACATCTTTTGGTATCCCCAAGCCTGACATGATCAACCTAGCTTTCCCACAGTCTTCAATCACACACTGTCCATCTTTCAAACGGTCCCTACTAATTAGGGGGCAGCTGTGAAAGACCCCATTCTCCCCACTCCCAGCCCCTTCTCCCAGTTCCTAGAAAAATAAGGAGTTGTAAATTTCGCAGCAGGCTCTCCATCTTCAGCATTTCTCATCGCTCCAGGGCCCCAGAACTCCCATCTTTCTCCATCATCCTGTTTGTTTTGCTGAGTTTTTACCTAGCTTGGGGACCTTCACCCTAATTTTTCTACTCTCCCCTTTTAGAGCTTTGGGGTCCACTTCGAATGCTTTCAACTCTGCCTCCTGGCTCCATAGCTCTTCACTATTACCTTGCAACCCCTGACAACATCTCTTCCTAGGAACTCATTAACGCTGCTTCCCCATAAATTCATTAGCACTCAGGAGACTGGGCGATGATCTTTCTCTTCTTCCGCAGTCTCTGCCCTTACAAATTTCATTTCTGAGATTTCTCTCACATTCCGTTTATTGTGACATCATTTATGAAGTTCTCTTCCGACAAGAGGGGAGTCAAAAATAACTATATATCATTTTAAATTGCTCTGGTTGGTAACTCTACATTTTAAGACTATCAAGGAAGAAACGTGTCTAATGACAGGGCTACAAGTGGATAAAGAGCTGACAGGGTAATTGCATTACCAGATGCTTCCATATACCAGTTAGCTGCTTCCTGGGCCTATTTGAAGCAACGGGTGTCAGGTCAGTAATTAGGCTCTTGCAGACAAACTGGAAATGCCATCTGAACTCCTCTGAACACCGCCATCACTCCCATTTATGCCAAGTTCAATATGAAACACACCGTCACCATCCTTTTGCTGCAAGACTGCAAAAAGTTCCCAGGGACATCTCCCTCCTCGCTCCCACACAAGTTAATGAAGTCAATGCTTCCCCCGCATGTCAAAGAACTTGTTCCCAGGATGGCAGTACGTTGGTGCCCGTCGCTAACAAAAACACCCAACAGCAACCTAGACTCTGCTTTTTGATTCTTCTCTTCTGACTGTAGACTGGCTGACATATTCACACTCAGGGCTTCTTTGTCTTAATTTCTTTGTTTGATTTCCTAGTGTGATTGGTTCCTTGGAATAATGCAAAAGCCACAAGAGCCTGGAGAACTGGCTTTAAGTCCCAGATAAGCCATTAACTTACTGTGGGGCATTGGTTGGAATCTGAGGCCAATTGGACATGTCCCCATTCATTGACTCAGGATGGGATCTACAAAGAAGGAATGGGACATGGGCCCAGACTAAGCCATGGGACAGTGGTGTCCTGGGAGAGTGTGCTGTCCATCATTCAGGGTTAAGAGTCATAAAAGTATAGGAATAGCAGGTGATGGCCACTTGAACCATCTCTGTCAGAGGGAGGATGCTGACCTCCAGTCTGAAGGTAGCAAACGTGAATAACTGACCTTTGAAAGTTTTAAAGAGCAGTCATCTTTGAAGAGGCCCATCAGTAGGCTTCAGGGTTGGCTGCCAGGCCAAGAATAGTCAGGGAGAGGATATCAAACCAGGCTGACAGAGAGGAAGGAAAGACATCTGGGACATCTGCTGTTTGGCCCACCCAAACAAGATTACCTTTCTTTCTGATAAGGAGCACCCTGGTTTTCTGTTAGGAAAATTTACTCTCCCACTCTTGGTCCATGTGATCAGGTGGGGTTGACTTAGCCCACTCCCACACACCAGGGGATGAGTGTGATCCTTACTTCGGTCCAACAGAAAGCCCTGGAATTATCCGGGAAAGGATACTTTCTTTCTGATGAGGTTGCTCAGCTAGTTTCTGGGGGTCACCATAAGGAGAGAAACCACTTGAAAATAAAGCCAGTATGGAGGAGAAATGGAAAGAGCCCAAGTCTGAGTGAGATTATGCAGTTTCCAGATGCAGCCATGCCTGAAACCAGAAGCAGCTTTGGACTTCCCAGTTACGGAATACAATAAATCCTCTTTCATTTGGTTTAAGGCAGTTTCAGTTGGATCTCATTCCTTGACAATGGAATAATCCTAAATAATAAGGTTGGCTAGAGCTCAATCCAAGAGGAATCGGGTACTGGTCAGCTCTATAAGAAACATTGCCTTGAACCATGGAATGTTCAGTTACCAAAGATAAACATAGGTGTGGGCACCAAAGCAAAGCAGAAACACAGTTACCCGAACTAAGGCAAAAAGTGTGTAGTCAGGGGAGTTGATGCTGAGTCTGAGGGTCAGGTCTTTAAATGTCTCCCTCTCAGGTCAAGGCATCATGGGTCTCCTCGTTAGGTCTGGGAGCCCAGCTGTGAGGGGGTAGATGCTGGTTTTGATAGTCACACTGACCCAGGAACCTTGGACAGACCGTTTTCTTCCCTTGGTCCTTGGCTTCCCCATCTGTAAAATGAAGAGGTTAGATCATTTGCTCTTTAGATGCCCCTCCAGCCCCTGAAAACCATACTCTCCTTCTCCCATTTAGCCCCAGTGTGCCTCAGGGGTGAAACCAGAAGATGTAATGCCTGGGGTGGTTATTAGAGTTTCACAGCGATGGTTCCTGGGACTAGAATAAAGGGTTTTTGAGGGAACGGAATTTGTGGAGAATATGAAGGTGGAATATCCTGTCCACTGAAAACTTGGAATTTTATGAAACTCTCATTATAATGCCTTTTTACAATCTTTAAAACAAAGACATGAGTGGCACCTCTAAATGTTACATGGTCTTATTTTATATGATATGAATTTTACTATCCTATTTTTCTTTAATATTTCCATAAAATTGGTAGACAAGGAACAGACATGGAAAGATAGCATGGGCGCTAGGAGTTTGTGTGAAGATGTGGGTAAGAATGTGTGATGGCTTCTGAATTTTATAGTAGAGTGGCATTGCCTCCACTCGGTCCTGTACTGAATATGTTGTGTTGGCTGAAGTTTTTAACAGTCATGAGAGGCTACCTGGCTTCTTGATCACTAGAAAGTCAAGTCAAGGCTCAGATGCAGCAAAGCAGCATCTTAATGTCAGGTCACCACTGGTCGTAAATGTGGCCTCCCACAGAATTGATTTTGGGGTGGAACCCTGAGAACTATGAGCAGGCCGCGCGTGGAGCAACCTCAGCCCAGGCTTAGGAGTCCCAAGGAAGACAGGCTCCCTCTCCCACCACTCTAATAATGAGGCCACTTTTCAAAGAGTGTTTTAGAAACATTAGCTTTTCATGATGCCCTCTGGGAAACATGCTCTCAACAATTAAGTTTTGTCAGTCTCTGAGCTGGATACTGAGGATGAAGGAAAGGCTTTTCAGAGAAGATGGAAATTCAAGGAATACCTTAGGAAGACAGAACCACACATGGATAATTTCAATATGATGTAGCAAAAGCAGTGACGGAGATACCCACAGAGTACCAGAGGAGGCCACGTTGAAATACAGTTTCAGGATGGGGGAGCGGGTATTTCTGGTGGGAGAATGAGGAAACCAAGTTTTTGAGAATGGCCTGATGCAACTTGCTGTGCTGAGCTCAAGCAGAAGATTTTCTCAATAGAGTCTCACTGGTTTCCATGACTGAGGCTGCTCGTCCCTGATGGGAATGGTTCTGATGATCATGTGGACACAGTCACTTCCGGTTTCATTAAAAAATAACACTCAAAAAAATCTAAAATACCTTTAATTTCAAGCCAAGACAAAAGATTCACCAACTGTATACTGTATAGCAACACCATCCACCACTGTGACGGGGAGTGAGGCAGACACCACCACAGACAGAGATCTGTGAACCCACCGAAGGGTGGAGATTTATACACAGGAGAGGGGCAGGGAGGCTGTTCATTTGCTTCTCCTCCAGGTGATAAGTTTTTCCCTCAGACAAAGCTGGACATAGTGGGAAGACGTGAGGGATGGGAGGATGTATTGTGGGGAAATCAGAGAATTGGAAGGTTAAGACGGTGTACAGATTTTCAGCACAGCCCTTCGTCGTTTTATTTGCAATGCCTGAACGAGTTAAAGGAGGCTGTGATTGAAGATCAAATTTACAAAGTTTTTGAAGTTGGTCCTTTCAGCCTGGTACAGAACACATTGATGGGGGATGGACCAAATTCTTGAGCCAGTTAACAACAGCTGTAAATGTACAAGGAAAAGAGCCCCTTTCTTACACAAGCACCTCTTAATAATCCTCATTGGAAACTGGTTAATGAACCGATGCTGATAATAAGTGAGCCAGAGGAAGAATAGCCAGAGGGGGCCTGGTGTCAAGGAGTCATAAGGGTTATTAACACAGCCGCTGAAAATTAAAAGTGCATGAAGGAAAAAAGAATTACTGGGGTTTGCTGTAACTTCTACTATCTTAAAATTTTATTCTGCACCTAACGTATGGCGTATAGAGAAAAAAATGGGAGTGTATGGAATTAACTCACCTGATTTTGAATGCAAGCTCAGTGGTTTATCATTCAGTGTACTGATCTTCTATATTCTTGGTTTCTTCTTTCCTCTTTAGTAAAATGGGGTTAACAAGCCTCACCTCACAGGACTGTTGTTTGGATTAGAATTGAAATAAACAAATCACCTGGCCAAGTGCCGGGACCAGAGTTGACATTCAATCAGCTATAGTCAATATTATCATTGTTATGCTCAAGTTCCTGTTGGCAAAACTTGGACCACAAAGTAAACATTGACCCTCTAATCCCTTGGCTTTTAGTCCAAATTCTTAAGCAAAATTGTCTTCTGTTTCACCAATTAAAATATGGAGATATATAGGCCATAGATTTTCATCTCTTTTAATCTGAGAGTCACAGGAATGTTCAGTTGAAGATAATAGGGAAAATGCATTTCAACTCTCCAGCCCTACTAAAAATAATAATCTTTTTTAAAAAATAAGTGAGACTAAGAGAGACAATATACCATCTTCAAATGATAAAGAGAATGGCCACCACTTCAAACCCTGAGCTATAGAAAACACCTGCCAAATATCATCTGCTCTAAACTTGAGTGGTGGAAGATGTCAAGCAAAGATACCTTTGATCTCAAGCAGAGTATGTTGCCCCTAACATGTCAACTTTTTGAGCAGTGTAGCCAACGGTTATTTGACGAAGGATCTAGAGTTGTGTACACAATACATCAGAGGTGAGCAATGCCCTTCTAGAGATCCCATCCAAGAACATGGATTGTGTAAAGAGTGAGCTCCAGGAATAATCATGTCATTGCCTCCTAGCTGATAGAAATGGTCAGAGGTCAAGTGGAGTCCCAAGAGGGATGGGAGGCAGAAAATTCAAGATGGCAACACAGAGAATCTGGGGATTTGCTGTAAGTCACAGCAACATCTCCAATGTTGAAAACTGGGGCAAGATATCCTCCCGGGTGAAAGAAATAATAGATGTTATGACTAGGATGAAATATTCCATTTGCCCCGAGGTGAGGGCTCAGTCTGTCCCAGCTCCCTTTTCCCCTGTCCTTCTGCATATCATTTGTCTGTAGGTAGCCCCCAAAAATTTTAACCTTGAAAAA